AGTGAGGAGTAATGACTTACCCAAGGTCACCCAGTACGTCCATGCAATGGACAAACCCACTTGGAAAGGAGAAGCACTAGGGGGCGGGGAGATGGGGTGAAAAGACAACACAGGCTTATTTTGATCTCAGGTCCAAATCCGCCCCCTCCTGCTGGTGTTTATTTATAGCCCATTGCTCTGAATCATTAACCACACGCCGGTGCGAAGAAGCAGATGATAAAGGACCCGGGGCAGAGTGCCCAAGGTGAGGTGAAAAGGGGAAGCACAGCGGGCTGTGGAACTGCATTGTGCTTTCCTAGGAAGGGAGCTAGAAACGGGGCACTTTGAAATTCAGCTCCAGTCGATCTCCCCAGGGGAGACTCCATGGAGGATGAGGGAGCTGGGGAGGTGATGGCATCACAGTTCCCTGGGGAGCGAAGGCCGAGCCATTAATTCAGAGATTCTCAGGCCAGGAAGGGAGCAGGCTGATTGGGCCTCTCGCACTGCGCGGGCCAGAGAATGACCCAGGGATTCCTGCATCCAGCCCATAGCTGGGGATGGAGCTAGTGCAGAGCTTGAGAGAGGACAGCCCGTCTGTTCGACTCCACGTGATGGAAACCGCTGTTGTGTGTTCACACTGTCAGCTGCCTGTGCAATAGCGTGTTCACACTTGTGGCACTTGCAGCAGTATTTGGAGTGGTGCACTCTGGGCAGCTATCCCACAATGCACCTCTTTCTCGTCTCCCGCTAAGAGTTGTGGGAAGGCAGAGGCAGTTACGGGGCATCCTATGTCCTGTCCCAGTGCCTTTAATACATTTTTTCACATCCCAGCAATCCCTGTGCTTTCATCTGCATTTGGCGCCATCTTTCAATGGTTTGTGTATTGTGCACCCTGCCTCTTCAGGCTGCAGGAATGGATCCCGAACTGTTGACCAGTATGCTGCTCGCTCTGACCAAGACATCACAAGTGGCAGTGGAGTTATTCCTTAGACTACAAGGTAAGAGGAGTGTGACATTGATCTCGACACATGTTGTAGCTACATTATGAGATTGCTTGTGGCATTCACGGAGGTGCTGACCACAGTGGAACACTGCTTTTGGGCTCAGGAAACAAGCTCTGAGTGGTGGGATCACATCGTGATGCACGTCTGGGATGACGACCAGTGGGTGCAGAACTTTCGGATGAGGAAAGCCACATTCTTGGGACTGTCTGATGAGCTCGCCTCAGCCCTGCGGTGCAAGGACAGGAGAATGAGAACTGCCCTGCCGCTGGAGAAGCACGTGGCGATTGCACTGTGGAAGCTGGCTACTCCAGACTGCTACCGATCGGTCGCTAACCAGTTTGGAGTGGGAAAGTCGACCGTTGGACTTGTGTTGACAGAAGTCTGCAGGGCCAGTTATCCCATGCCGCTTAGAAAGACCGTGACTCTGTGCAACATGAGTGATATTGTGGATGGCTTTGCACAAATGGGCTT